GAGACTGGAACGTGTTGAGCATATGACTGCTAGGCTCATCCCCAGTTTACGGGTGTGAGGTAAGAAGACCGATGCGAACGAGTGGGGCTGTACACCTTGTCGTATTGTCTGTTTAGAGTTGACCTCATTATGACGCATCAGATATTGCATCTGGGTCACTTCCCCATGCTGAGGCCACTGCTTCACGTGCGCACGTCAAGCAGCGCTCGCGGGCACCGGTACAAGCTAGTGGTACTGGACCTAAAGCGGATAATTCACCATCTATGCTTCGAGCGCCGAGTGGTGAAATATTGGAAGTTTGCTTGTGAAATCTGTGTCAGAATTCAATCAATTACTAGACATTCAATTTGCGGATTTCGGATACAGACAGCGCATCCGAATTGGATATGACCAGCAACAGACGATCAAGAATCAGTGACGTGACTCTGCGTACGTGCCCGAACTAGTTACGATGAAGTAACACAGACGTATGTGTACTAACTCACTATTGTCAGTACTCAGTCACCGCGCCAGCGCCCATAAGGTGAAGTGATCGAAGTTAGCAGCTGATACAGCAAATGCGGTATGGACAAGAGAACCCGATAACAGACGTAAAGATAGCCAGTAACAGTGAGGCGGACAGATTGGCATCGTGGGTAAATGAGGCAAGAAAAGCCGCGCCTTGTGTGACCAACGGCTAATGCTGAAGCAGTTAGCGAAAAAAATACAATAAGATGGGGTTCGGTGGAAGGCTTACTTCAACTATGAACAATCTGGGCGACAAAGGTGTGCCAATAAAAACAGACATGTATTCAGCTCTCACAACGCTTCGACAAAAATGGTAGCGTCGTATCCGCAGACAACGATGCCGCTGTTGGGCAATAAAACAAACGAGTCGGGTTTGGCTTAACAACACAAAAGTTGGGAAATTCCCCGTTGCGCAGCAGAAGGCTGACAACGGCCCAGCACCGTGAACGGTAGATTACACTTGATGGTCGAGTCAGTTAACACCATTAGCACGTTTCTCGTAATTCCGATCAGCCACTAGGGACACAAAAGACAGACTGTTATCAGTACAAGGACTTCGAATTGGAAGGCATTTCATAGAAATAATGTGGTTAGGTTGCGCAGAGTCTCAAGCAGCAGTGACAAGAATAAAAAATAACTGCGGCAAAAAAATCAAAATGAAAAGCGAATGAAACACACGAGGTGAGGTCAGTGGAACTGCTTAATTCAAATGAAGAACATGCGAGGGACCAAAAGAAGGACGGTTACCAGTCAGACTGGTTCGAGCACTAAACATCAATGTGATCAGACGGTAGCTTAACGAGGAAAGACTCGAACCAGCAAAGAATCAGAAGGGAGCGATCGTCGCAGTTAAATCAACGCTGACTGCAAGCGACATCACAATTGAAGCCCAACATCCAATTAGACACAGCGTCATTTCAACATACTCAGCGTAAGCGAACAAAAGTCACCGAGAAACCTCAGAAAATACAAGGCCATTGTTATGTTACCGGTTGATAAGGGACGTCTTAAGGTCATAATGGGAAAAAGTTGACTATGTGAAGCAAACATGAGCACTGCTCTTAGATGTGAACATCTACCAGCCGATAAGCGAAGAGCCTACGTGAGATCTGAAAAGCAACATCAAACGAGCACCTTGTGAACTGGAAGAAAAAGGATAAACCACGAAGTTAAAAGGAAGTAACCGGATGACTCAGTGCCACCAGTGCTCTACGGTCTATACAAGGTACACAAAAATGGAGAACCGCTTCGCCCGGGGCACTGAATTACCAAATGTCTGAGGAACTCCGGAAACGGCTGAAACACCTAACCGCAGACTCAAAGCACTCAATTCAATCAGTAAAACAATTCCTTGGAAAACCCAATGGAATAACAATATAAAAAACGATAACGGACTTCTATGATATGGCAGCATAGTTCAGATCAACCGAGGTGAAGATGGGAAGGCAAATAATGATGACGCTACTTGAACAACACGGAGCGGAAAACACATACACCATAATCGAAGTCATGCGAATGATAGAGTTGCCTGATTTCTGTCTCACCAGACATTTCACTTTCCACGGCCAAACGTGTAAACAGACAACAAACACATCAATTGGTTCGTCAAATCTGGACTGATAGCAGCCGAGGCAGTGCTGCAGACAATGAAACGAAAGCCATTGCCGATGGTGGAGCCCAAACTTTGGGTACGTTGCGTGGATCACGCTTTTGTCTTCTTCAAACGCTCCAATCAATAATATCCAATAAATAGTACCCATTTCACAATGACCAGTTGCCATTCTTGGACATTCTCGTGACAAGATATACATCTGGGCCCTTGCAAACAACAGTTTATCAGAAAGGGACGAACATCGATCAGATCTTGAGATATCGCAGTAACCATCTGTCTATTTACAAATGTTGTTGCCTGAAGACACATTTTAAACGGACGCAAACACATTGCAGCAAACTGCGAAGGATCATCTAATTAACATGTTTCAGCGGGAATAGTACCCTAGAAGTTTTATTCTATGCTGCCTAATGTCGAAGAATTAACCATAACTCGCATCCACAAGTGTAAAGGAAGGGAAAACAATTATTTTGTTTCACATTCATAAAGTTTCTGAGATGGCAACGAGGCCTTTAATGCCTCACGGGATAAATGTTGTACATGAAGCAACGGAAAGCATTCGAAGGAAACGTTTTAAGGTAAATGACCAACTGAATAAAGAAGACACATCCGATGTGACTCACAAAATTTCCCGAGAAAAATTGTGGGGAGTACTACCTGGGCCAGACAGGAAGGGAAATTTGCACAAGACTGCACAAACATGGTTTGGTCATCAACCGACAAGATGAGAAATCGCTAATTTCAGTACATATGATGCGGAAAACCATCCGGTCTGAAGAACGTCAATATACTTGGGAGAGCAAGGAATGGCGGGGAGAGTGAGTTCATTGTGGGTCAGAACTCAGTCAACAAACACCTAGTGTTAGAGGGTGTCTACGAAGCTCTGCACGTTCAGTTAGAAACAGGTATCAGAGCGACAGAAAAGACTCACCTGAGCCAATCGAAGACTGACATTCAAAGCAGAGAACGGTCAATAGGCGCTCGGATATGGCAGCGGCTTACGAGGCTCTGTGAATCAGACATTGATAAGCGCACTGAGGAGCTGGGTAACGAAACGAACAGAACAATCCTCTCATCTATATCCCGAGCTACAGGTATTCTCAAGATACACTCCATTAGACCTGTGGAGTTCTGTAAAACAAGTACACATGGACGGAGATGGAATTTCGCCTGATGGCTCGGACGATAGAGACATGGAGCCCATTCGGGCGTGAGTGAACTGAGATAGAGGTGTAGAACAACAGACCGCGAAATAATGTACCAAGTGGTGTAACGCCAGTACTATGCCATATGTTCGGGCTGTGCTCTCTTTCCGCACTGAACTCCACCATAAGTTTAACCCTGATTCGGACTCTTCTAGTAGGGATAGTCAGAGCTAGGAGTGGAACCCGGTACGCAGTGACCGATGAGTTAATAACCTTAACAAAGTTCCGAAGTTTAGTACATCGAATAACCGCACGCCATCATCTAGTCTTTGGACAGTAAGACACTATGCGTTCAGTTGGATTCTAAGAGAGGGAACCACGGTTTGCAGACAGTGTTAAGTAGGAAGATGCGTAGCGCATTAAGTTCCAATCTGTATTTAACAACCAGGTGTCGAAGATGTGAACAGTAAAACGATCATCTGCAACGCAGAAGTGCCGGGAGACGTATTGAGACCCAGCCAACTACTCAAGTGTTACTATTCCTGATACAGGGCAGGCACAACCCTACTAAACTCAATGGAGTTCACTGGCGCCAGTGAACAACATCGTCGCTATGCAGAGACCCAAAACTACTCAGTTCAGAGTGAAGCTCTCCCAAGGGAAACAGCCGCCAAGGGTCCACTCATCTGCACAGATGACAACGGAGTTTTCCTCAGTGAGAACACGGCCAACGTATCCCGCACAGTATCCAATTAACTCGCGCCCCAGTCTCACTATCGTAGCTCTCGGACTCTCCTCAAGGGAACAGTCTGCCTACATGAGCCGTGTTCATGTCGATGCCTTAGCCACCGACCGCAGTCAGCAACTGTGATGTGGCCAACGTCTCAACAGCATCGAACCCACCCCATCTCTGTCCGGAGATAAAAGCACTACAAGGCAACTCATGTGTCAACAAACATAGTCCTTCCCTTATAGTTTATACAATTACTGCTGTTTTAATGAAGTATAAATATGAAGGTGTAGAAAGCATGGTTGTCTTGATTAATTCAGTAAACGCACCCTTATTATTGGCCAGTCTTCCTCCTTCTAGTCTGGGCATAGTTGTGCGGTGTTTACACGTTCCGTCTACCGTCCCAGTTACCAGTTCATGTCCAATGAGCGTTCCAACACGAATCGTCTAGGTTACTTTGCGCGTGGAGAACAACGAGTGAGAGTTTGTCCGTTCCGAGTAGGACAATTGAAATTCAACTGGGACGTCTATAACAATTCTCTATGATACCCATACTACGGGAGTCTCTGACAATTAGTGCCTTAGTTTATCTTCGGTAGGAAGCTTCTTTGGAGTAAAAACGTACATGCCGGTATCAGCGATACGTGGGTATATCGCGAACCGACACTGTCAAGCGACCACCAATAGTTGTGTGTGTGCATGTGCTGAGGATGATGCTGCAAGGTCGCCCACACCTATTCAAGTGCGAAACGGATTATACGCCGGACGCCTGGACCGACCGATCACTGGCCAGTGTAAAAACGAGTACAGGTTAGATAGAAATCGAGAAACATACAAAGTAATTAAGTGATAGCAACAGCGAGCTTATGAACCCACATCAAGACACACAAATGTGCACTTTACACGCTGCATTCGGTGCAAAGGGGAGACACAGAAGAGCAGTTAACCCGAATGCACCAAAGAGAGTGCTCTGAGTACGACCGACCATAAAAGGGGGACTAAAAGCATTGAGCAAAAAATTCCGAAAGATTCGTATTGTAGAAAATTAAGTAATGAAGATGATAGACCGCAAGTTGAATAGCAAAGGTAACACCAACCATTTGGACGTATCGGGTTGCGAGAAAAAAACAAAGAAAAATGACACGACGAATGGAAGTATGAGAAGTGAGAGGGGAAAAATTCGAAGAGCGATCAGGCGGAGAAATAGACCAAAGCAAAGCCATGGATTATTGTGGTTTACATAAGGCTGAATGCAGCGGGATGGGAACGGGCGTGACCGAGATTGATGACATCATGATACCCAAGAAAAGGGAGAAGGTATAAGAGATCTACAAGGGTCAAGTGGCAAAACTAAAAGCAGAGGGGGAACAAGGCAATTGATTTTGATTGAGAGATAGGCACGTCATTTGAAGTAATAAAAGAAATACATGAGAACAACGTGTTTTGGAAGGTAAACTGCAATGTATGCGACGAAAAGTATGCGCACCAGTGGGAAAGCTTCGGTGATCGAGTGGGATGTGCCTTATCAATTGTATCCGCCACATAGGGAAAAATGGCACCAACCAGCGGCCGTATGTCAGAGAGAGAGAGAAAAACCTGCGACAAGAGGAGAATTGAGCCGATTTACACAAATAACAGGGAGTACGGTTGACGTTGCCTACTACACCTTTGAAACGTTAATTCCCTAAGACAGTGGTGAGTGTACAAACGGACGATGGATAAATAATCTGTAGCTGGTGGCTATACACCTGTGTGGAACCGAGAGCTGCGACGATAGACGGCGTAATGTGCCTCAGTAGACAATTCTGCGTAAATCGACAACGCGACAGAAAACGTGGAGGCGTAGAACACATACGACTGGCGAGAGAAACGCGTGTGCTAACGTGTAACACTGTATCAATCCGTGTGCGTGTGTGTGTGGAGAGAAAACTGCAGAGTATGAGGGCAGGGGAAATAAGTCATGCAGTGGCAGTAGTAGTAGTTGGCAGTGGAGAAGTGGAGAAAAGTAAAAAAGGAGTTGAAAGATTATCAGAGCAGAGAACATCTGGTCTTTTTCTTTTTCTCTGGAGGTGCGAGAACTGCGCGGATGGCTTCGTCAAACACGTTCTTTAGTCCTTTTTGGGTAAGAGCGGAACATTCCAGGTACTTGTGTGCGTTTATCTTCTTACACATGGCCAGCCCCTGCGGAGAAAGTGTAAAGAAAAATATAAGCCGGAGAGAACTAATGGGAGTGACAACAATGTTGCTACAACTGCGCCGTTTCTCAAGCAAGGTCGGCCGCATGCGATAAGAAAGTTAAAAAAAACTATAAATCGTCCGATTCGCTGCCGTGCGACCACGATCAGTAGCGCGTGGGTTGAGTATACCGCGAAGATGCCCGTCCCTATGCAGATTCGAACCGATGATCTTCCGAATGTAAGCCAGACGTGTGCTGGTCAATTTGGACCACCGCTCACCACATGCCAACAAAGAATGAAACGGTTAAAGAAGCAAATCGAATCGTTGCTGAAAGTATCATTCATTTAGTATACACGTTTGCTAAAGGTGGAAAAACACCTCAGCAACTGCGATGCAATACAAAGGGAAGTTTAAAAAACGCAACAGAGGCACGCCGACTGAGTCACCCATAACGGAGAGACATCGTTCCGGAGAGCAAGCAGCCAGCTATTGTGCCGCAAAAAAGAATTATATTATGCCTAAAACATGGGATGGTGGTTGGAAAGGAGGCTAAACGGGATGAGGAGGGACGAAAAACTCACATCACAAACGCCACTGAGGTCGATTCCTAGCCATGCCAACAAGCGTATCTGGCCAAACGTGCTCATCCTGAAAAAGTTTTCACTAACGAGGTAGGCGAGGTTCCATATTAGGAACTAGGGCGCAGAAGCTCTCTCAGATTGCCCTACTGATGCATGTTGCCGTAGTTACGATGCAGATAAGCAAGAATGGTGTGTAACGGTTGACCGTTAATCCCACCTCTTTCTTTTCCTGAGCCCCTGCAATGCACTAGACTTTCATTTTATCATGTGAGACGCATTTTAGCCTGATCGTATAAACCACAATGCCATCTGGAATTCTTCATTCGGAGTCCGGATGTCCATTGTTCAACAACAAGAGGACCGATTGTGTCTCAGGTATAAACGTCTGCGTAAAACATGGCAGTCAAAATTTCGATCCATTAAAATCAAACTTCTTCAAAGCCACTATGCGGAAGATTAGTAAGCAAAGCAAATTGGAAGACACATTTAACCGTGGGCTGAGGCAGTTTCTTAATCATCAGCGGGAGGAACAGATTGCCGCACTACCCGACGAGGAACAAAAATATCGGTAGTGTAACAGAGCATAATCAAAGTTGACACGCATTACGACATTGTCTATTTCAAGTGAAACACTGGCACAAATTGTGCCCGGAAGCAATGGTCATAGGAACAGCCAATGATCGACGAACAAATGGAACAAGCGTTCGCTGGGAAATCTGTGCAGTTGAAACCAGGCTCGAACAACCCGTCTAACTGATGACCTACTTGTATGTACTCAAACTGCATTCAACTGGAAGCAAAGCTGGACCGGCAGTATTAGGAAGCGTGCTAAGTACATAATAGTGGCCATCTTTGACAACACAGCTCTCAGTTGACACATGCAGAAATCATGTACGAGCAGCGCATAGCCCAGATCAGTGTGCTAATTTTTAGAGGGGACATCTCTTAACGAAGGAATCAGTGAACCCAAATGATGTGCATGGTTGGACGCTAAACGCGTGCGTCCGTGTGCCGTAACAATTTATAGATAATTTGGATTCTGTGTTCATGTCTAGCACGCCCTGTTGCGACATTTTTGAGATTGACTGTTACGCAAATAACTATCTTATTACACAACACCATATTTCTATTTTCATCTGGCTTAACAACCAGGTGTCCGTATGCCTCCAAGTTGACACTGCCTCAGACATCACGCCCATTTACGAGACAACTTGGAAGAAAATCGGTGAGCCACCTGCTCAAAGAACGATTCGGATTGCAACCAAGGCTTCAGGAGGACCGCTGGACTTGGCCGGTGAAATCTATTGTCCTGTAATGTTCAAAAATTGTCAGCTCATAGGGGTATGCTACATAATGAGACATCCCGATCTAAACTTACTCGGTCTCGATTAGAGCGAGAATATGAAACTGATTGATGTTCCATTGAATTCCGTGTGTAACAAAGTAAGCGACGTATCTGCAGAGTGGACGGAGTCTTTACAGCGGAAATATCCGCAGGTGTTTCAAGATGGTCTGGGATTGTGTACGAAAACCAAGGCTAATCTTTCCCTGCGACCAGAAGAAAGCCAGTCTTCCGACAGAACAGACCATTTCCATATGCAGTGGTTTCAATCGGTGACCAAGAACTTGACAGACTACAGTCAACCGGAGTTATCAAACGGAAGAATTTCTCTTCATGCGCTGCCCCCACTGTGATTGTTAAGCAACCAAACGGAAAGATACATCTGTGTGCAACTTACTCTACTGACTTGAATGCCACGTTAGAAGACCCCAAATACCCACTACCCCTCCCTGAGGACCTTTTTGCATGTCTGAACGGTGGCAAGTGTTTTGTTAAACTGGACTTGTCAGACGCATATCTCCAGATTGAAATGTCAGAAGAATCGCGTGAGTTGCTGACGATCAACACTCACATAGGCCTATACCAGTATACACGCCTACTATTTGGTGTTTAGTCGGCCCCGGCAATCTTTCAGCAGATAATGGATGCGATGCTACAGGGAATACCTTATGCCGCTACATACCTGGACGATATCATTATCATTGGATCTAAGCAGGAAGAACTGCACCAACGAACGGAAGTCGTGCTTGGAAGAATAAAGGAGCATGGTTTTCGCCTACGAATGGGCGTGTGTTTTTCACGACCTCCATTAAATACCTGGGCTTTATCAATAACCAAAATGGATGAAGACCTGATCCATCAAACATCAATGCGACCAAGGAAAAGCCTCTGACGAAAGAAGTAGCGACGTTGAGATCATTCCTGGGTTTGGTGAGGAGGAAGAGAGGTTTCCTCGTGGTCACGGATGCATCGACCAAATACTCACGGCACGTCAGTTGCTGGAGCCCCGTCACATATATCGGCAGCCCACCGTTGTCGTGTTCCTCGATATCAAAGGTGCATACACTTTGGTGGATCGACGTGGCCTTTGGGACTTTCTGCTAAGCAAAGGTATGCCCCAGAAGTATGTAAATATTATACGGGCGCTCTACACGCGTAGCTCGGGCAGAGTGAGTGCTAACGGCAAGCTGTTGCCGGTCTTCAATATCTCCAGCGCTGTGAGACAAGAATGCCTGTTGCCACCTTTCCTCTTCAGCTTCGATATTGACAGTCATGGAGATCGCGTTCACTAGACAGAAATTAGGTGTAAAGTTGCTCCCAGGTGAACGACTTCTTGACTTGGAGTTTGCTGATGATATTGCCATAATCTGTGACAGCTCCCAAACGTGCCAAACTGCACTGAACAGATTAATACCGGTTGTCAGGCGTTTCGGGCTTTGTTTTGCACCCTCGAAGTGCAAAGCTTTCCTCCAAGATTGGCGGGAACCGCCTCCTGCGCTGACCCTTGGTGGGGATCAGCTAGAAGTCGTTCAAAAGTTCAACTACCTAGGTAGTTGTGTCAGCGCCGTTGGAATTGAAAACGTGGTCACAAAGCGTATAGCATAAGCACCAGGCGTCTTCGCTAACCTTCGCGACCTATGACGCCGCTGGGCCAACGCTCTCTTCCTGAAGGGTAGAGTGGACAATGCAGCCGTAAGTTCGACCCTACTGTAGGGCTGTAAAACCTGATCCATTAGATCAGCCGACATAAAGTGACTAGTTTGGCTCATAGCCAGTGAAAACACTGTGTGAGTAATGATCTAGTTCGCCGCCCTGTTTACGGCAAAGGAAAAGAAAATGAACCGCTCAGCACCGTTATTTTACGCACCAGGCTCCGATGGCTGGATCACGTGTTGAGTAAGCCAGCCTACCGACTCCCGTGACGTGTGTTGTTTGCGCACCAGGGTGGAGGGTTGCTAAGCGATGACTTGATCAAGAGGAATGAACGCCCTTAGTTCAAAGTTGGCCTCGGTTGAAGCCTCTCGGCTCCCTGGTTGCGGTCCGGAAGAGGATGAACACGTTTGGCTGGACACACTTGTTGACATGACTGGGAGCTGACCACAATGGCGTTAGTGTTGTGAGTTTTTTTGCCCCTCCCCTTCCCGCTTAACCTCTCCCTCCAACCACGATCTCAATTATTGGGCACAATATCCGGCTGTTAGCTCGCCGGAACGATGTCCATCTGTTACTGGCGACTAGGCCAGCGTGCTTCCGTTTCATGTTTTTTTCCTTTTACTGTGGCACAATAGCTGTTTTCCACCTGCAGCTAACGTGTATAATGACGAATAGTGATACGGGTGCGTGCAATAACCAATGGGGTAAGTGATTACAAAAAATGATGGGGCAGTCAAGGAAAGTAAAACAGCAGATTAGTTCAAACGATATCCTGTCGATGGTGAGAACCGGCATTGTCAGCCCAGTGTAGTAAGAGCAATTTGCACTTTGAAGATGAGAACCACGTACCACTTGATGATAAGCCATCAGCAGTACATCGGCAGATTGTACTGACGCTTTGCTGTCACGCAATCACCACAAGTCTCGCGTGAGCTGGGTATGCCGCGAGGTCACTCGCACCGACGCGGATTCGAACCAATGACCTATTGGCTACAAGCATCTACTAAGACGCTGTTCGTTAAGAACAAAGCTCAAAGTAAAAAACCCAAATAGTCTGTGTATGGTGAATTTTCTTGTAGGCGACCATGCAAAAGCTGTACACCAGAATAACTGTTAGACGACAGCTCAGAAACATTCATAAAACCTGAAAACAAAAAGCTGGATGAACGGACAAACCCCACGAAGTCTACTTGCTGTTGTTTACTTGAAACAGCAACCAGAGATAATGGTATCGGTTTTTTAGGTGGAAAAAGTACAGCTGTAAGCCCTTCGAAAAGCAATCATAACAACATGTAGTGCAAATCGTGCCAAGAGTGTTTAAAGGAACAAAATAGAGACAAAAGATCGCATGTACGGTGGCATTCAAGCAAAAGATGAAGTGTGGTAAGTGGCTGTTACAACATCTACTGGACGGGAACTAGCATGGT